CGTTCTCCATCACGTCGAGATCTGCATACCCGGCCACGTAGAACGTCGAGGCCGACATGGTCAGCATCGCGATATTGACGATCGCAGCGACACCGAGTGCGATCGCAATGCCTGCAATCTCAAACTTGAGCGGCGGCAAGATGGTGTCGCCTGCGAGACCGAGCTCGTGTCGGCCTTTCGTGAGCTCCGAGTGCAAGAAGATGGCGTAGGGCGTGACCGTCGCGCCGACGATGCCGACGGCGTTGACAACGCTCCCAGGCCCGTCAAAACTCGGTACAAAGGTATGGTACGCGACTCGGGGCCAGTCGACGGACGAGAGCGCGGTTTGGACGATGTAGCAGACGACAATCATCGACACGAACGCAAAGATCGCGGCTTCAAAGTACGCGGCCTTGGAGTTGTGGACGAGGAGGAGCGCGAGCGTCGTAAAGCCCGTGAGGACGCCGCCCCACGCGAGCGGGATGCCAAAGAGGAGCTTGTACGCGACGGCGGCGCCGATGAACTCGGAGACGTCGCACGTCACGACGCTCACTTCAGCGACAAACCAGCAGACGTACACAGCCCACTTGGGCCATGCGTCGCGCGTGACCTGGGCCAAGCTCTTCCCGGAGGCGAGGCCGAGCTTGGCCGAGAGGATTTGAAAGAGCATCGCAATCAAGCTGGAGCAGAGGATGACCCAGAGCAGCGTGAGGCCATACTCGGCGCCACCTTCGATGTTGGACGCCATGCTACCAGGATCAATGTACGCGATGGACGTCACAAAGGCCGAGCTGAGCGCGGGCAGTAGCTTTTGGCAAAACGACTTGGGCGGTGGAGGCGTCTCCTTGATCTCGAGCACGGTGCTGGTGTCGTGCGTCGGGGTTATGACGAGCGTTGCGGGCGACTGGAGGACAGTGTACGCTGGCGACGGCAGTAGTACGTTGTGCATATGCGACGCGTCCTGCGATGGGCTCGGCGGTTCGGCGACAATTTCTCGCATGCTGCAGAACGAGCGAAAATGAAAATGAGCCGCTGGAACGCCAAGCGATTCGTGCGGAGGACCGAGAAACGTATGGTTTTCCAAATTGCACGACAAGGAACAGCTGTTGCAGGTCGCATGTCAGATCACGTTGCCCACCCCGCGTACCGTTTCGATTGAAGCGCGATGCATCGTTCATCGATGGCCTCTTCCGGCAGGAACTACCCGATGCGGCTAAATGCATAGATAGCCCCGAGAGAACTTGTGCCAATGACACTCGACAGCCCTCCATTCGTTGCCATCTGGTTTGGATACCGCGTTCAAGTTCGCGAAGGTAAATATCGGAGATGAATCGCAGAGCGCACGCCACGGAGTATGAGCAAAGCACTAAAACTATACTCTGTATGAAAGCGAGCTCCACCGCTGGAGACTCTTTGATGGATTGTTAGTGTGTTGGCAAGTAAAGGCATCGAGCAAAATCGTGATTTCACACATGAACTACACAATTCTCACGTGGTGCCACTGCTGGTGTCGTCGCTCGTTGGGCGGCATTGACCATTCGCTTGCGAGATACTAGTAGTACCTCGCTTTGCGCTACGAAGCGATATGCAGCTCGATCTTGTCAGCTGCGCTCGACAAACTAGCGGCGCGCAGAGCTGAGCCTCCGTGTTGTGGCAAGACATGGCCAGGATACCTCTCAAACATCCAAGTTGCTATGTCTCCGCTGATACCAGCCAGTCGTCACGGCGCCGATGTCTCTCATTGGCGCTCTGCATAAACAAGCTTTCGACCGCGACCAAGATTCACGACCTCGAATGACGAGGCAATCATTATCGGCATGTTGAAGTTGGTAGCTCAGGAGGGACTGAGACGTGGTGCTTGATCATGCAAAGGGGTGATAGCAACGACGACCGCACCCGGGTAACCGACGTCGGACAAGTGGCTCGCGCCTGTCGCTGTTTGTGGACCAGCAACAACAACCACCAGAAAAAACAAAGCCGACCACTACGTGACCATACTGAGCCTTTGTTTCCCGGTTCGATCCCATCGTCCCAGTACTTAGCACTCTAAAGTTCTAGTTTGCTTCACGCAAAGACTCAGAACGACACGTGGTCGACCATGTACGCTCACAGGCGTTGACACGGCTCCTGCATCGCAGCCCATTCCAATGAGCGACGACGTGGAAAGCTCAAGGCGGACTGACAATAGATCCCACGCGGGGCTTTCGATGTTGTTGATGTACTAGCTCGAAATGTCTCTTTACAGCACGGGCGAGTACTTGAGGAACTGCATGCTAAAGTCCGCTTCGCCTTGCGTCTTGGAGCGCAGCGCCGTGGCGTATCCCACCATGTTGGCCAGCGGCACGTGGGCGTCGATGCGACTCCGGCCGACGCGCATGGACGGGCAAAGTCCAACCTAGTTCTTCCCATCAACACATAGCCCAACCTGTTGTAGACACGTACTTCTTGGATGTGTGCTCGGCGCTGCGAGTTCAAGTCCGAGAGGATGTCACCGACGCACCGATCCGGCGTCCGCACGAGGAGCGCCATCATCGGCTCGAGTTGCACGGGCATCGCGAGCTCGATCGCCTCCTTGAGCGCTAGCGACGCGCAGGACCGGAACGCTTGCGCGGACGAGTCGTTGTCGTACTCGCAGTTGGCCGCGTCGACGGTAATTTCGAGGTATGCCAGGCGGTGGCCCGTGAGCGGACCACGGCCAAAACCACTCTATTAGGCACAAAAAACTCAAACCACGCAATACTCAAAAGAATAAACGTACCTGGAACCCGTCTTCGATCGCTTGGACAAAGCCATGCGGCAGCTTTTGGAAGAGCGACGCGTCCTTCGAGTCCGACTTCTTCCACTTGATGCGGTTCGTGCCGTCCTTGGACGACTCGGGGTCGATCGGAGCCAGCGTAAACGACACCTTGGCAAACTGCCGGTCGGTGCCCAGCATCGTATCGTACCGAAACTCGTGCTAGACAATATTTCCATCACGACCGATCGCATCGGGGCTAGGGTTTAATAACCCTAGCCCTGAAAAAGACGTACGTCAACGGTGGCCGAGATCGACTCGCGATACGCGACACGCATCTTGCCGACGGACGGGTTGAGCTTGTACTCGGTCTTGAGCCGATCCTGGAGGATTTCCATGTGCAGCTCGCCCATGCCGCTCATCTAATCAAAATTTAAAGAATCAAACATGAGCGAAAACATCCAAAATCATAGTTTACCAAGGTCTGGCCTGTCTCTTCGTCTTGCGTCACCACAAAGCTCGGGTCTTCGCGCTGCAGATGCTGGAGCGCTTCGTCGAGCTCTTTTTGGCGGCTCAGCGAGTCCGACTCGATCGAGCAGGTAAAGACCTACTCAGTATGTCGTCGTCTTCGGGCTCACTGGCTCGTGCAGGGTACCGGCGCTGGGATCTCGACACCGGGCAGCAGGAGACGCGTGTTGTCGCTGGCCGCAATCAGCGTATCCCCCGTAAACCTATGCAGCGCAGCATGAGCTTCGGAGTGATATGATGGACGGTACGTGTTCTTGAGTCCGACGGCGGCGCCAATGTTGCCAGCCGTGATGAGCTCGACTTCGTCGGCGTCGTCGGCCGCCACCTGCATGAGGCGCGTGATACGCTCCTTGGCATTTCTAGGCATAGGGTTAAGATCATATTGTCATGGAGGTTCGAAGCGCATACCGCGTCGTGTTGAGCAGCTGCGCTTTGGCATTGAGCGTGCCCGAGTAGACGCGGAAAAACACAATCGGGCCGCGCTGCCGGTCGTGCTTGACCTACTCGTCACCGTATTTTAGCGCAAAAGGGTAGCAGCCACCGACCTTGAAAGCGAGGAGCGAGAGCGGGCTCGAAGCGTCGGCCTCTTTTTCAAGCGTCTTAAGCACCGTGTGGTTCTTGTCGATCTGCGTCGCCTCAAAGGGCGAGCTCGACGGGTCGGCGGGCGACGGCAAGTAGTCGACGACGGCGTCCAAGAGCGGCTGCACCCCCTTGTTTTTGAGCGCACTAAAAATCAACGGTCAATACTTTCCGAATGCGAGGATCGAAGCAGGGACTACCTGCCGCAGAGGGTCAAAACCGCTCGCGGCGCGTCGTCGGGCTTGCGCACCGTGATGCGGCGCAATGCAGCCTTGAGCGTTGCGTCATCGACTTGCTCTTCCATAAGAAAAAGGTCGCCGAGGACGTCGTCAAAATCCGAGGCTTTCTCGACCAACCTAAGAGACAAAAATGATGTACGACACGTCGAGAAATCGACGGATGGAGTCGTACGCAGCCCGCGCGGCCGCCGCCTTGGCGTAGAGTGCTTGCATTTTCTCGTTGCCTGTCACCGGGAGGAGAGGCAGCCTACGCAGCGCGCGTCAAACGAGTGCTCTACCGAGGATCGAAGCGGGTACCGGCGGACTTGCTCGCCGTCGTCGCCGTGCCACGTGAGCATTTCCATGGTGATGATATCGACGACGCCGTAAAAATCACTGTTTTCGCCCATCGGAATCTGGATTGGAAGCGCGACGACGTTGAATCTATTGCCGTT